GAAATTCGCTACGTAACCCTGGCTGGCCTGGAACCCATATGTAGGCCAGGCGGGCCTTGAACTTGTGTTCCTTTTGACTCTTAACTGAGATTACAGACATGTGCCATCCTACTTGGCTTTTCTTTTGTTTTTCTTTTTCTTTCTTTCTTTTTTTTTTGGGGGGGGGGGCTGTGTTCCAATACAGGTTTTTCTGTGTCACAGTTCTAGCTGTCCTGGAACTAGCTCTTGTAGACCAGGCTGGCCTCGAACTCATGGAGATCCACCTGCCTCTGACTCCTGAGTGCCGGGATTAAAGGTGTGCGCCACCACCACCTGGCACTTTTTTGTTTTTTAAAATTTCCTTGTGTAGGTGTTTTGCTACATGTGTGTCAGTGTACCATGTAAGTGCCTGGTGCCTGAAGGGGCCAGAAGAGGGCACTGATCCCCTGGAGCTGGAGAGACAGATGGTTAAACAGCCATGAGCTCAGCCCCTTCAGAAGCGCAGCAAGTATGGGTTAACTTCCGAGCTAACGCTCCAGCCCCATGAAAAATATTTATAACATGCTAGATCCCCTCATGTTCCTTTTCTCTTTAAGTTCATATACTATATGGGATGATTATCATTTATATTTCATTTTAATATTGTTTTCTTTAAAATTTATATATTTAAGGGCCTGGAGAGATGGCTCAGTGGTTAAGAGCATTGCTTGCTATTCCAAAGGTCCTGAGTTCAATTCCCAGCAACCACATGGTGGCTCACAACCATCTGTAATGAGGTCTGGTGCCCTCTTCTGGCCTTCAGGCATACACGCAGAAAGAATATTGTATACATAATAAATAAATAAATATTTTTTTAAAAAAAGAACTAAAATTTATATATTTAATTAAAAGTTTTCCTTTATTAAAGCTAATGAGTTGATTTCTTGGGCTTCCCTACTGCAGGGCTCCAGGCCAGGATCCGACTGTTCAATCAGCAACACAACCACATGCTACGGGGAGCAGGGAGCCGAAGGCTGTATGTTCTCTTCCCATTGGACTGTGGGGTGCCCGATGACCTGAGTGTGGCTGACCCCAACATTCGCTTCCGAGATAAACTGCCCCAGCAAAGCATAGACCGTGCTGGCATCAAGAATCGGGTTTATTCCAACAGTGTCTATGAGCTTCTAGAGAATGGGCAGCCAGTAAGTGTACAGAACTGGGCTTGGGGAAAAGGCTCATTTCCCTAGGATCCTGGATCCTTAGCCACACTCTGGTAAGAACTCATTACTCTTTTTTGAGCCTGGCTGCACAGCTGGTCCCAGGACAAGGCGAGATTCAGTTATGAACTACATTGAGAAGTAACATTCACAGAGCATTTACCATATACCAGAAGCTAGTGTATGTGCACCGATGGCCACCTCTAAACCACCAACCTGTGGGGCTGGGGCTGGTGTGATCGCTACTTCTACAGTGGAGGAAAGTGAGGCTCAGAGATACAGTAATGAAGGTTGTGAGAGCATTTGAAGAATTGGGTGTGGGTGTGGGGAAGCAAACCCCCAGAGCACTTCCCCAGACTCCATTTTCAGCCAGGATACCATGCTCTAGGATCATGGGGAAGGATCTGTGAAGGGTGTTTAGGGCAGTCCGGGCCTTAAGCTAGGAAGGGGGCATTAGAGGCCTTAGTAGGGCAATCATGTCCTAGGACTCGTTCTGCAGACTGAGGGAGTAGGGAGGGCCATAGCCTATGGCGTCAGGTCCCCAATTCACCTGTCAGGGTCCTGGCTTGTCTAATCTCGTTCTCACCTCCTCCAGGTAGGCGCCTGTATCCTGGAGTACGCCACTCCCTTGCAGACCTTGTTTGCCATGTCACAGGATGGGAAAGCTGGCTTTAGTCGGGAAGATCGGCTTGAGCAGGCCAAACTCTTCTGCCGGACACTTGAAGACATCCTGGCTGATGTCCCTGAATCTAAAAACAACTGCCGCCTCATTGTCTACAAAGGTAAGACACTGCCAGGGTTGGAGGGCAGAAATCAGGAACTCCAGTATCTCACAGAGGGTCAGAGAACAAGGAGGCAGAGTTTTCTGGGCTTTGCCATGTGGTCAAAGGGGTCAAAGGGGTCATGCCATGCCCTTGCCTCCTCTGGTAGATGTCTTCTCGCCACCTGAATGTGGCCAGCCTTGACGCCGTGGCCTTTAGACAGGTCTTTGCCTTTTCTGAGCATCATCTCTAGAAGCAGGAGGGTGGGCTTCCATGACCTACAACTACTTCTAGCTGAGCTCTGCCCCCCCCCCGCAGGCTGTGGGGTAGATGGGTAGCGGGAAGGGGGCTGAGGCTGAAGGCTTGCCCCAACAGTCCCTAAGGGTGCATGCATCCTTGTTGGGAGTGTGTAAGGTCCTCACCTAACCCCCACTCTACATCCCTGTTCCAGAGCCTCAGGAGGGAGACAGCTTCTCCCTGTCTCAGGAGGTTCTCCGGCATATTCGTCAGGAAGAGCGGGAGGAAGTGGCCATGAATGACCTCCAGACCTCAGTGGTGTCCCGTTCTCACTCCTCTGTGCTGTCCCAAGAGCCGAGACTCCTCATCAGTGACATGGAGCAGCCGCTCCCACTCCGCACAGACCTCATCTGAGGCACGGGGCAGCCTTGTCTGAGCTGCTGGTGATCCTTCAGCATCCTGACTGGGGCTTCCCTCGTGACTGAGTGGGTGACCGAGGGGGCTTCCCTCAGTGACTGAGGGGGTGACTCACAGAGATCTCACATCTCCCGACGAGTCCCACATTCCTGGGTGAGCCATTGTATGTCTCTCTCTGAGCCTGAGCCTACTCCCCTATGGAATGGGATCATAGGGTTCTTGTGAGGACTAACCATGTAGAAACTTGGTGTCACTTGCCAGGTAAAACTAAGATAGGTCAAGTATTTGCCACCATCGATGCTCTAGCATTCTCTGGTCCTTGTTGTCCTGTCTGGATGGGACCAGCAGACCAGCTTCTGGTCATGTGTGTTCAATGGGAGCTTCAGCAGGTGAATGGAGGGAGGGAGGAAGGCGCATTAGGAACATGCGTTCTGTTCGCTGTATGTAATCACAGTGGGCTGTCCTGCCAGGCCACCTTCTCAGTAAGCATATCTATTCTCAGGGTTTTGGAGGAGCCTCTTTCCCTTGCCCCTAGCACTGGTATTTGTGTGACACTGACGAACTTACTCTCTGTGGTCTCTTTACATCATGTTCCTTGTATGTGGTCCTCTTAAAGACACCGCTCAGATTACACCATCTTTCTGCAGCTAGGCTGTGACTGCTATACGGACCTGGCACGCATCGTCCGTGTCTGGCTGCATATACAACACACTTCCTGCACTCTTCCTTATCCTGCTACAGGGGAGCAGGAGATAGTTGTCATTTCAACCCAGATGGAGCCCACCAGGCACACGAGGGCACACCCCACCTTTGCTTTCAGTGTCCTTGCCTCCGGAGCCAGGGCTGAGTGGCGCTAGCACATGGATGCCACCGGTGGTACACAGCTGTGTCTCGGGGAAGGGACCATTCGAAGAAGCGGAGGCCACTGACCAGACGTTCTCTAGTGAGAGTTGTGAGAGGATCAGGGAGGAAGAATATGTTCCCTGGGGACACTGGAGGACATGTCACTGAGCCCACCTTTGGTGGCACTGCCACCCCACGTGGGAGGGCAGATAGTCCACCTACCCGTTCCACCTAGGCTTTACATGCAGCCTCCCTCTACCTTCGTTTCCTTCACCCCGGCTCAGGGTGCCACTTTGTATTTCTTTCTCTTTGTTTTATGTGTATGTGTTTTCTCCAAAACTGAGAATCAAGAGTTGTGGGCTTGTTCACACAGGCAAACCCTCTACCACTGAGAGCCCTCAGCCCTCATATGTTTCTGAAATGTCACTTTGGAGAAGTCATACACATGCACACACACGCGCACACACTCACACACGTCAGAGGAAACCAGTCACTCTGAGGATAGCAGAGCCAGGGAAATCAACTGGGGGATAGTCCCTTCTCTTCCTGACCGTCACAGTCATCTTGCCCCCAACAATGAGGAGCCTGTATCATAGCCAATGTTCCTTCTCCAGAAACCAGCCCAGAATCAAGGGCCTCCCCACCTTGACTGTGTTCAATTTACCAGTCCCCAGGATGGTTCCTAGACTGTGGAGCTGGTAAAGCTCAAGTTCAAATACTGACGTCATTGCTTGGTACCTGTGTGTTCACCGTGGTGTTTTGTTTTTTTTTTTTAGACAGAATTTCTCTGTGTAGCCCAGGCTGGCCTTGAACTCACTGTATATGATCAATTGATCTTGAATTCAGAGATGCATCTGCCTCTGCCTCCTGAGTACTGGGATTAAAGGCATGCACCACCACAACTAACCCCTCCCCCTTTTCTTAATAAACAGCGTGTTCGGGCGGTGGTGGCGCACGCCTTTAATCCCAGCACTCGGGAGGCAGAGGCAGGCGGATCTCTGTGAGTTCGAGACCAGCCTGGTCTACAAGAGCTAGTTCCAGGACAGGCTCCAAAACCACAGAGAAACCTTGTCTCGAAAAAAAAAAATAAAAATAAACAGCGTGTTCCTCAAACTTGCTGTGTCATTGAGAATGATCCTGAACTTCTAATCCTCCTGTCTCCATCTCTCAAGTACGAGGATTAAAAGACTGTACCACCACGCCCAGTTTATATGGTTTATGTCTGCATGTTTCTGACTGCATATGAGTGAGGTGTGGAGGTACCAGAGAAAGGGGCGCCTTTCCAGAGAGCCACCAGGAGGCCCGACTTGGTTTCCCGGGCCCCAGTCTTTATTTTTCTGACTAATTTCCTGCCGGGATAGACCCAAACAAGTTCCACAGAGTTCCTCTTCTTTTCCTGGTTTCCCGCTAGCTGGAATTTTCTGGATCCGGAAGTGATTTGTAATACATTTTAGGCTTATTCCAACAAGCCCACACTAATTGAAAAAGTAAGAGGTAATAAGAGACCCCAAACTCCCCCATCACATCCTAGGATGGCAAGGCAGATTTGGGGACAAACCAAGGCCAATCTTGGAATCTAAGTGGAGATTAAGAATTCCAGGGGCTTTGGGTGTCATCCACAAGCCTCCTTTCCCGGCACCCAGTGTCTCAGAGAAGACACGGCACAGTTCTCGCCTGAGTTCTCCTTGGATCAGCAGTGTGTAGAGGCAGGGCCTTCTCTGTAGACCTGATATCCCTGCGCAGGGATGGAACCTTCTCTTTATTCCAAAAGGGATGGAGATCAGAAGTATAGGGAGGGAACAGGAACTCTGAGGAGGATCTGGAGATCCCTGAGGGGAACCTTGTAAGGGTGATCTTGGCACCATGTCTGTGGGCAAGGTCCTCAGGTGGCTTTTATTTCTCTTGTCACCATGGAGCTTTCTCGTTAAATATCTGAGGGTTGCTCTCGCCGAGTCCAGAGGACTGTCTGTAGTCCAACACCCAGGTTCTAATTCACTTTTCAGTCCAGTTTCTTGTTCTGAGAATAGTCAGGCCAACTCCAAATGACCCTCCTACAGATATGTGACTTCATCAACGCTCGGCCTGTGTCCATCTAGGGCAGAGCCAGAGTGAGGGATAGGAAGTCCCGGCTGGGTTTCTCTGTGATTGTCCTGTAGGTCCAGCAGCCGCCAGTGGATGAGGTAAATGCCATTCTCTGGCTTTAGAGCTGGTGGCTCTGTGAGGAGAGTGGCATGGCCCTGGTGCAATGTGGGCCCAAAGTGAACCGCCAACACAATGCAGATCGCTAAGAGGACAAAGGCAGCGATGATTGCAGCGACAAAGGGCAGCCCGTCCCCTCGCGGTGCTTCCCAGACCTCACCTAGCATCTCGGGGAGCCGCCTTTGAGGCTCCTGTTCCAATGACCCATTCACAGGTGGAGAAGGCTGAGGATAGTGGCCATCCTGGGGGAAGAGGAGAGATGACAGAGGTTGATGTGGGTATGAACATACAGAAAAAGTCAAAGGAGCCGGGCGGTGGTGGCGCACGCCTTTAATCCCAGCACTCGGGAGACAGAGGCAGGTGGATCTCTGTGAGTTCGAGGCCAGCCTGGTCTACAAGAGCTAGTTCCAGGACAGGCTCCAAAACCACAGAGAAACCCTGTCTCGAAAAACCAAAAAAAAAAAAAAAAAAAGAAAAAAAAAAAGAAAAAAAAAGTCAAAGGAGAGGAGGGATCTAAGAAACAGAAAATGTGTGTGTGTGTGTGTGTGTGTGTGTGTGTGTTTGTGTAATCACACACACTCATAAGAACAATAAACTGGGGGCTGGAGAGATGGCTCAATGGTTAAGAACACTGGTTGTTCTTCCAGAGTACCTGGGTTCAATTCCCAGCACCCACATGGCAGCTCACAACTGTCTGTAACTCCAGTTCCCGGGGACCCAACACCCATGGCAAAACACCTATGTGCACAAAGTAAAATTAAATAAATTAAAAAAAAGAACAATAAACTGAAAGACAAAGACCTGGGGAGCTACAGGAATGGGGGTGGGAGGCAGAGAAATAGACAGTAACAGAAAAACAGCCACCCCTGAAAGACTGTGTAAAGTCACTCAGGAAAGGCAGAGGGAGAGGCTTTATTATAGTCTGGCGTAGTAAATACAGTTTGTCTCCAAAGTTTCCCTTCACTGCTTCCTCTTCCCAGGTCTCCAGCAAGAGTCACAGATACATTAATCCCAGCACTCGGGAGGCAGAGGCAGGCGGATCTCTGTGAGTTCGAGACCTGCCTGGTCTACAGAGCTAGTTCCAGGACAGGCTCCAAAGCCACAGAGAAACCCTGTCTCGAAGAAAAAAAAAAAAAAACAACCAACCAACCAAACAAACAAAAAAAGAGTCACAAATACATACTGGGTTGTGCTCGAAATCTGAGTACTCTTTGGGCCGCTGCCCCACATCCCGGGCAGTGGGCAGTGAGCAGAGAGCAGCAGCTGCCTTGAGATGTTCTGGAGAAAGGGAGTTGTCCAGTCTTAGGGGCTCTCCTGTTCTAAGTCACTGAGGAGCAGAAAGGCGCTACCCTGAGCTGGGATAGGAGGAGGGGACATGAGCCCCAGAAACTTGGTCTGAGGTGGGATGTGTGCCCATACTTACATCCCATATGTATGTCCCCTTCCCCCTAGGGCTTGGGGCCAAGTTCAAGGGGCCTAGATAGGACTGGAGTCGGGTGTAGATTCCTGGCTATGCCCAGGATGGGTTGACATCCTGCACCAGTCATCTACCCTTGCCAGGATCTTATGTCTCCTTGCTGAGGACATAACCCATGTCACTAGTGTGTCCCAACCCTGCTGGATGTTGAGTAGGGACAGGGGATCTCAGTAAAGGATGAGAAGTCCAGAGTTAGTGAGGTGGCCTCCCCCTCCAGTCGTCATTCTACTGTATACTGGGAATTGGGGGTCTCTCTAACTCTGAGCCTTCAGCCTGGCCCACTCTGGACAGTTGGAGCTATGAGATCAGACAAAACTCTTTCCTTTAGTCCGTCAGTCACAGTGTCCCTAAATTCCAACTCAATACTGCTGCCCATGCAGAGCTGAGTGGGGGCCTGGGGGGTTGTTATGGGCCTCCCCACAGGGGCACAAAAACAACCCCAGGTGTAGAAAGGGAGAAGGAAGCTTAGGTTGGGAAAGGTGTGGGGCCCCATAGGGAATCAGGCCAGGTGGGCAGGAAGGGGCAAGCAGAGTCTACCTGGTGCATTGTCCGGGGCTGGAGCAGAGTTCCCTTGGGACTGGATACCAGCTGGGCAAAGGAAGAGAGCTCACTGCCTAGCTCAGCCCCTACCCGGAGCTGCCACGTCTGCCGTGCTCTAGGCACACACCCTCTGCACACACCCTCACTATTCTTTCCCGCGCCTGTCCTTACAGAAACATCTAGGCTTCCCAGGGCCAGTCTTCAACTCTGAGAGTACCTTGATCTTCCTCCTAGCCACTTCCTTGAGTGCCTCCTGCATGCCCTGCCCACGCCTCCTCCTGCATATTCCAGTTACTCCCTCCCTAGGACCTGCCCATGCTCCTGCTCTCATTTCCTGAAGCCAAGGCCCTCTGCTCTTTCCTTGTTATACGTAAAATATCAAGCACTCTGATCGCACATCCTACATAATATCCTGGATATAATGCCCTAGATCACTGTAGCCTAACAGCTCTGTCTGTAATATCCTGGATATAATGCCCCTCGATCACTGTAGCCTAACAGCTCTGTCTGTAATATCCTGGATATAATGCCCTCGATCACTGTAGCCTAACAGCTCTGTCTGTAATATCCTGGATATAATGCCCTCGATCACTGTAGCCTAACAGCTCTGTCTGTAATATCCTGGATATAATGCCCTCGATCACTGTAGCCTAACAGCTCTGTCTGTAATATCCTGGATATAATGCCCTCGATCACTGTAGCCTAACAGCTCTGTCTGTAATATCCTGGATATAATGCCCCTCGATCACTGTAGCCTAACAGCTCTGTCTGTAATATCCTGGATATAATGCCCTCGATCACTGTAGCCTAACAGCTCTGTCTGTAATATCCTGGATATAATGCCCTCGATCACTGTAGCCTAACAGCTCTGTCTGTAATATCCTGGATATAATGCCCTCGATCACTGTAGCCTAACAGCTCTGTCTGTAATATCCTGGATATAATGCCCTCGATCACTGTAGCCTAACAGCTCTGTCTGTAATATCCTGGATATAATGCCCTCGATCACTGTAGCCTAACAGCTCTGTCTGTAATATCCTGGATATAATGCCCTCGATCACTGTAGCCTAACAGCTCTGTCTGTAATATCCTGGATATAATGCCCTCGATCACTGTAGCCTAACAGCTCTGTCTGTAATATCCTGGATATAATGCCCTCGATCACTGTAGCCTAACAGCTCTGTCGTCCGTGTTTTGCTTTACCACATTTATTTCTAAAATGTTAAGAACTAAACTACTTTTTTTTTTTGATTTTTCGAGACAGGGTTTCTCCGTAGCTTTTGGTTCCTGTCCTGGAACTAGCTCTTGAAGACCAGGCTGGCCTCGAACTCACAGAGATCCGCCTGCCTCTGCCTCCCGAGTGCTGGGATTAAAGGCGTGCGCCACCACCGCCCGTCTCTAAACTACTTTTCTAAATTTATTTTAATTTTTTATTTATTGTGTGACTGTTTTTGTGCACATGCATGGTGTATATGGGGGCCCTTGCGTCATGCAGGTGTGTGGAGGTCAGAGGTCAGCTTTGTGGAGCTGGTTCTTTTCACCTTTATGTTGATTCACGGGAGCAAACTCAGGTTGCCAGGCTTGCACAGTAAAAACCTTTATTTGTCAGGCCATCTATTATTGCTGTTCTTGTTTTGAGACAGGGTCTCTCTATGTAGCCCTGGCTGTCCTGGAACTCACTATATAGACCAGGCTGGCCTCGAACTCACATGGATTAAAGGCAAATCCCAGCACTAGGGAGGCAGAGGCAGGCGGATCTCTGTGAGTTCGAGGACAGCCTGGTCTACAAGAGCTAGTTCCAGGACAGGCTTCAAAGTTACAGAGAAACTGTCTTGAAAAAAAACCCAAACCAAACCAAAACAAAAAAAATAAAGACATGGGTCACCACTGCCCAGCCACACCATTTTCATAAAGTGTATAGATATATAAACATCGGCTGAGGGTAGCTGGTACATCTACCTTTTTTTTTTTTCAAGGATAAGAGGGGTAGGTAGGGGTCTTTCTGGTATAAACCACAAACCTGTTAGACAAGTTGGAAATGAGCTGTACACCTCACTGTAAAGATTTGTTCTTTCTCTGTGCTGAGAACAAAGACCTAAAGAGGAACTAGTAAAACAGAAATCCCAGGCTGATGAGCTGGCTCATCTGGTAAGGTGCTTGCTGCCAAGGCTGATGACCTGAGTTTGGTCACCAGGATCCACATGGTAGAAGAGACCTGACTCATTCCTGTGTCCTCTGACACACAGTTGAATGTACCCCCCCATACACATGCAAAATAAATAACTTTTTTAAATAAATAACTTTTACAATATTTAATAATATATATTAAGAATCCTTACTTCTTTACCCCACCACACTTCTTTTAACCTTATGATAAACAGACACCTATAAAACTATGATTTAAGGGCTGGAGAGATGGCTCAGAGGTTAAGAGCACTGACTGCTCTTCCAAAGGTCCTAAGTTCAATTCCCAGCAACCACAAGGTGTCTCACAACCATCTGTAATGAGGTCTGGCGCTTTGTGGCCTGTAGGCATACATGTTGGGAGAACACTGTATATATAATAAATAAATACATCTTTAAAAAACAAAAGAGACGCGGGGCGATGGTGGTGCAGCCGGGCGATGGTGGCACATGCCTTTAATCCCAGCACTTGGGAGGCAGAGGCAGGTGGATCTCTGTGAGTTCGAGACCAGCCTGGTCTACAGAGCTAGTTCCAGGACAGGCTCCAAAAACCCTGTCTCGAAAAAAAACCAAAAAAAAAAAAAAAAAAAAAGAGAGAGAGAGAGAATCTTTTCTGTTTTCTTTTTTAAAGATTTATTTGTTTGACATATATGAGTGCTTTATTTGGGCTGGAGAAATGGCTCAGTGATTAAGAGCACTGCCTGCTCTTCCAAAGGTCCTGAGTTCAATTCCCCACAACCACATAATGGCTTACAACCATCTATAAAGAGATCTAGTGTCCTCCTGAGGAAGAAACCTGGTCAGTTGTCCTCATCAACTTAGACAAGTTCAACAGAACTGTCATCTACGGGCTGCCCATGCCTGCCTCAGATGCCTGCCTCAGCATTGGCAGGGCAGACATTTCATTCATTCATTCAGTGCCCTATTTGCATGCATGCCTTTATGGCAAAGAAGACATCAGATCCTGCAGTAGATAGTTTTGAGCCACCGTGTGGTTGCTGGGAATTGAACTCAGAACCTCTGGAAGAGCAGGCAGTGCTCTTAACCACTGAGCCATCTCTCCAGCACCTTCTCTCTGGGTTTTGTTTACTTGTTTTGTTTTTGTTCTTTTGAGTTTTTAGGCATAAGGTTTCTCTGTGTAGCCCTGGCTGTCCTAGAACTTGCTCTGTAGACTAGGCTGACCTTGAACTCACAGAGATCCACCTGCCTCTGTTTCCTGAGTGCTGGGATTAAAGGTTTATGCCATCACTGCAAAACATCTTTCTGGGGGGCTGGAGAGATGGCTCAGTGGTTAAGAGCATTGCCTGCTCTTCCAAAGGTCATGAGTTCAATTCCCAGCAACCACATGGTGGCTCACAACCATCTGTAATGAGATTTAGTGCCCTCTTCCGGCCTGTGGACACACACAGACAGAATATTGTATACATAATAAATAAATAAATATTAAAAAAAAATAAAAAAACAAAACATCTTTCTGGTTTTTTTAAAAATATTTATTTATTTATTATATATACAATGTTCTGTCTGTGTGTATGCCTGCAGGCCAGAAGAGGGCACCAGACCTCATGGTGGTTTGTGAGCCACCATGTGGTTGCTGGGAATTGAACTCAGGACCTTTGGAAGAGCAGGCAATGCTCTTAACCGCTGAGCCACCTCTCCAGGCCCCCTTTCTGGTTGTTTTTGAGAAAAGGTTTCATGTAGATTAGATTGGTCTTAAACTTGCTATGTAGCTAAGAACTTAAACTCCCAATCTGTCTGCCTCCACACCCTGAGTGCTAGGATGGTAGGCCATGACCAGTTATTTGTGTTTTGTTTGAGACAGGGTCACATTAAGTAACCCAGGCTGATCTCAAGCTCAGTACTCTCCTGCCTCAGACTCCTGAGGACTAGAATTACAGGTGTACACCGCCCTGTTGTAGGAGGCCACTTGTTTGTTCCTGGCTGCTCAGCCCTGAAATATCCTCACAGAAACTATATTAATTAAATCACTGCTTGCTTGGCCTATTAGCTCTAGCTTCTTATTGGCTAGCTCTTATATCTTAATTTAACCCATTTCTTTTTAAAATTTATTTATTATGTATATAGTGTTCTGGGCACCAGATCTCATTATAGATGGGTGTGAGCCATCATGTGGTTGCTGGGAATTAAACTCAGGACCCCGGGAACAGCAGTCAGTTCTCTTAACCTCTGAGCCATCTCTCCAGCCCCATTTCTATTTTATATTTTACAACAAGGCTCATGACCTACCACCAAGTTTCCAGCTGGCAGCTCATGTCTTTTCCCCTCTGGTGGCTAAGCATCTTTAACTCCAGTTCCAGAAGGTCTGACGCCCCCTTCTGGCCTGAGAGTGCACTCCATGCGCGTGGTATACAGGCTATACATACAGGTACAATATCCATACACATTAAAATACAAATAAATACATCTTTAATATGTATGTATGTGTGTATCTTCCAACCTGGCTCTATTCTGCTAAGCCATTTATTGCAAGCAGCTTCTTTATTCATTAACCAATAAAAGCAACACATATACACATAATAAAATCACCACACTTCCTGGACTAGTTTTTCCAAGGTAATTTTTGGTACCAACTAGCTACCCATAATAAGCCATTCCTCATCTTGCCCCTGGGTGCAAATTGGCCTCTATTCACATGGAGATCAGTAGACTCCAGAAGACCCCCTCACCTAGTGACTTGAAGCAGTAAGTATCAATAGCTTTTTGATTTCTTGCTTCTTATCCAAGCTGCCCACACCCTGTCACCTCCACTGAGTCTAGGATATTGACCTGACCCTCAAATTCCTGAAGCCTCTTGGTGGCGGGGATGAAATCTACTGATCATTTCCCCACGGAATCGAAGGTTCTGATGATCTTCTGCACCCCCACCCCCACATACCTTGGTCCTTTTGTATCTTAGAAAGATGCAATCTGGACTTTGCCCCAAGTCAAGACTTTCACTTGTGAAGAAGAGAGTGGACTTTCTGGCCTCAGGCTTCTCCATCACTTGCCCGTATCCACACT